ACTACTTTATATATTCAAATGTAATAATGATTTCTATAAAACTAATGCAAAAAGACAGTATGGAACAATTCTTAAGGGACTTAAGTCTTGTACTTAGTCATGTAGAATTCTGGTACTTTGGGCTTCATTTACCGTTACAGAAAATTTCCATTGTGTCTCCCGTCCCATGCCCAGCCTGCCCCTTTGTTCTGGAAATTGAACCCAGGGGCGCTTTACCACTGAGCTTTTTAAAACATTTTGAGACAAGGGCTTGCTAAGTTGCTCATCACTAAGTTGCTGAGGCAGGGCTTGCTAAGTTGCTACATCACTAAGTTGCTGAGGCTGCCCTGAACTTTCAATCCTCCTACCTCTGCCTCCCAAATTGCTGGGATTACAGATGTGTGCTAACATGAGTGACTTTTTTTAATCTTTGTAAAGAAATAGGCAGTATATTGTTTTGTAGAGAGCCTATTCTAGAGATGTCTAAAAAATGGTATTTTCCAATGTTTGACTATTTCAGGTTTCTTTTTTTTTTAAATTTTATTTTAGTTGTTAATGAACACAATATCTTTACTCATTTTTATGTGGTGTTGAGGATTGAACCCAGTGCCTCTCACATGTGAGGGCAGGCACTCTACTGCTGAGCTACAGCCCCAGCTCTATTTCAGGTTTCTTATGAACTAATTCATATATGTGGTTTGGATAAAGAGAATGATTTAAAGTGGTCCTTGCAAATATGTTTTGTGATGTTATTTCAACAAAAGATTTTTAAATCAAAGCAGAGGAAGTTTTTCATAGATGTGATAGCTTATTTTCTATTATTATTATTTTACTGTACTGTAGATTGGACCCGTAGCCTTACACATGCTAGGCAAATGTTCTATTGCTGAGCTATAACTGCCCCCACATCCCCTGTATTACTTTTTTGGTACCAGGGATTAAACTCAGGGGTACTTGATTACTGAGCCAATTTCTGGCCGTATTTTGTATTTTATTTAAAGACAGGTTTTCACTGAGTTGCTTAGTGCCTTACTTTTACTTGAGGCTGGCTTTGAACTCACAATCATCCTGCTTAATGTGGTGCCATGGATCAGACTCAGGGCCTGTGCACACTTTACACTGAACTACATACATCTGGAGCTCCTGTAATCTTAAGATTTTCTCATTGTTTCTCAACTTGATAAAATCCAGTCCCTTCCAGTGAAGGGAAAAATAGTTTAAATACCTTTTAAAATTTACAGTGTATTTACAATTCTGTTATAAATAGTCTACAGATTACTGACAAAGCTTTTAAATATATAATTAATTCAGTGTTTGTCCCTAATAGGAGCAAGTCTTTGATTAAAGCCTCTTTAAAAAAATATATATATATATTTTTAGTTCTAGATAAATGAATACTTTTATTCTTTTTATTTACTTATATGGTGCTGAGGATCAAACCCAGTGCCTCATACATGTGAGGCAAGCACTTTACCACTGAGCTACAACCCCAGCCCCTCTATTTTTAATATAATTCTTTAGTTCCCCCTTTACCATCATCTTATCCACTCTTAATGCTTCGTTCTCACGGACTGTACATACTTAAAGAAGTTAATACTGTGGATAGAATTGCAAATTGGATTGTTAATTGAATATAAAGAAAGTAACTTTTGTATCTGAATGTTAAGTTAGAGTTTCACTGCTTCTGAGATCTAATATCCATCTAATATCTAAAACCGATTACTGTTGTTTATTCCTATGAATGTAAACATTGAAAATTGCCTTTGAAATCTCTTTTTACATAATCTGATTCAAGTGATTTTTTTCTAAAATGAGACAGTGTTGCATTATGAAATCTGTGAACGCATTCAAATATTTTATCCTTTTAAAATATTTTTTATTTTAGTATGTGAGGCTATCATATGACACCAAACCTGAAATCATTCTGCAACTTCTGCTTAAAGAATGGCAAATGGAATTACCCAAACTTGTTATCTCTGTTCATGGGGGCATGCAGAAATTTGAGCTACACCCACGAATCAAGCAGTTGCTTGGAAAAGGTCTTATTAAAGCTGCAGTTACAACTGGAGCCTGGATTTTAACTGGAGGGGTAAACACAGGTAATATGATGATTGTATTAATTGTTTTTAGTGTGTTTGGAGATTTTTCATAGTATCAATTAGATATTTGAAATAATAGCCAATACCAAGTATAAATATATTCAGTTCTTCTAATAAAGAGTACAATTCCTAGATAAAAATAACTGAATCTGTTTGGTTGTCATTTAGGCTTTAAAAAAATAATACACTTTCGAGCAGGGATTGGCAAACTACAGCCCATGTGCCAAAGCCAGCCTAATCCTTGTTTTTGTGAGTAAAGTTTATTTGAACACAAATCCACTCATTTATTTATGTATTGTGTATGGCTGGTTTTTTTTTTTATGTTTTGTTTTGGTTTGGTTTGATTTTTTTGCTGCAATAACAGAGGCTAATTGTTATGGCAAAGACTGGCAAATGCCCTGCAAAGCCTAAAATATTTACTGTTTGGCCTTTTAAAAAATATTTGCTGACCCTACTACAGAGCATTAATTTTTATCATTTTCTGACAACTGGTAAATTGGTAGAAGATTGGCAGTTCATTGCCTCAGCAGTGGTAAAAAGTAGCTTTCAAATATTAATTTTAATGTTATCACCTTTCATCCCAAGTCTTTCCTTTCATGTGTACAGCTTGACTTTAAGGAGTGCAAATTAATTTCAATGACTAAAGTAAAACAGTAATTTACATCAATAACTTGAAAACATCTAATTTATTCATTATCAGCCATAGTGATTTACATCCATCAATTTGAAAACATCTAATTTATTCATTATCAGCAACTATTTTTTGAGCCTCATTGTCTGTCAGACGTCCTTTGGGCTGCTGAGTTTATATCATTTCATAAAACAGAGGCAAGATAGTTACCTTGTGTGAAATGAGAGAGATACAGGCAACAAAGAGATAACTTAGTAATGTATAATATATTAGATGATAAGTGCTATGCCAGCACCATGGAATAAGAGGTGGATAGTGAGAAGTGATGGAGGGATTATTGTAAAATTTTGTATATAGTTATGGAGAATTTGACTGAGGGGGTAACAAATGAGGAGCAATGGAAGGATAGGAGGGAACAAAATACAAGAAAGGCATGGAGCAGGGCATTAAAAGTGGGGGAATGACTAGTCTATTACAAAAAGAGTAAGAAAGTTCTATAGTAGCTTGAGGGGAAATAAGGAATGGTAGATGATGGTGTCAGAAGTTGTATGGTGGCAGGAAAGCATATTGAATAGCAGAGCTAATAGATCATTATCTGAGAACTTCTGGGCTATTAAAAGAACTTTTTCTTTTACTCTAAATGAGAAAGGAAGGATTTAAGTAGGCATTGACAAAAGCAAAGATAATGGATAATGTTTTGAAAATAGACTCAGTGAGCAAGATGAAGATGCTGTTTCCATAATCCAGGTGAGGGATAAGATCTAGTGTATTTTGAAAAGCAAACAGTGATATAGTCAGAGGTGCCATAACAAAAATACTACAGAATGGGTGGCTTAAACAGCAGATAATTATTTCCTTATGGTTTTGGAGGCTAAGTCCAAGATTAATGTGTCAGCAGGTTTGGCTGACTGCAAGGCCTCTCTCCTTGTCTTTCAGGTGGACCTCTTCTTGCTGTGTCCTTTTTCTGTGTGTAGGCATTCCTGACATCTCTTTGTGCTTATATTTTCTCTTATAAGGACACCAGTCAGTTGGATTAGAGCTTTCTCTACAAGGCCTCACTTTAACTTAATCACCTCTAAGTATCTTCTCTAAATAGAGCCATATTTTTGAGGTGTCAGGATTAGAGTTTCAACATGTGAATTTGAGGGGACACATAATAAATTGTAATGAGAAGTTACAGTAGTGCCCTCCTATCCATGTTTTCAGTTACTTGTATTTAACAGTGAATGGTCTGAAAATATTAAATGGAAAATTCCAGAAACAATTTATAAGTTTTTGAATTGTGCTGTGTTCTGAGTAGCATGGTGAATTGTCATGCCATCTCACTCCATCTTGACTGGGATTAAGTCATCCCTTTGTACAGCATATCCATACTTGGTATATTACCTACCTCATTAGTCACTTGGTAGCCATCTTGGTTATCAGATGGATTGTCCATCAGATGTACTATTATAGTATCACAATACTTACATATAGGGTTCTATACTACACAGTTTCCAACATCTACTGGGGGTCTTGGATCATGTCCCCCACAGGTAAGGGGGAACTACTGTATATATTCTCTGGAGTTTTTTTTTTTTTTTTTTTCCTACATTTTCCATGTTTTTGATTCAATTTGACAGCTTTTGTTCATTGTATGTGTGTTTGTTGTGCTTATGGTCCTGTGCCACTGAGTCATATTCTTAATTTATTCTAGATGATGTATAGAAAAACAAAAAATTAAATTAGTTACAAGTCCAAGAAAGGACTTGGCTTTATAAGAGCATGGTAGAATGTAGTTCTCATGTGTTTTAGGCAGTTGTAGTGATTTGATGTTGTGGTGTTTTGCTTTTTCATTCCATTTTGATCAGATTATTCCTTTGAAAGCTTGGCTTTGGATGTCATTGCTTTATATCTTATATGTGTAAAGAAATGTATCATGAATTATAATGTTAAAAATTAAGCACAGGATTGTTCCTAGCATAATGAAAACTTTGAACTAAAATGAATAAAATTTTGCATGAACAGGTGTGGCAAAACATGTTGGTGATGCCCTCAAAGAACATGCTTCCAGATCATCTCGAAAGATTTGCACTATTGGAATAGCTCCATGGGGAGTGATAGAAAACAGAAATGATCTTGTTGGGAGAGATGTAAGAATGTTTTTAAAGTTTCTCATATTTGCACTTACATATAAACAGAATTATAGCAAAAATGGAGCAAGTCAACTTAAATATATCATACCACATTTTTCAAATGAAGTTTAAAAAGCATTTTTCTGTGATTTTCTTCTCATCTTCGTAAAAATACATTCATAAATATAAATGATAAAATTTCTTTCATATCATGCCATTAATTACATTTTGAATGAATTTGTGACGTTAGGAATTAATCTTATTGGGGTTGGAGCTGTAGCTCAGTGGAAGAGCACTTGCTTAGCATGTGTGAGGCACTGGGTTCGATCCTTAGAACCACCTAAAAATAAACAATTAAAATAAAGGCACTCTGTCCATTTAAAAAAAAAAAAGAAGAAGAAGAAGCAACAGCATTAAGAAGAAAAGAAGAATCTTGTCACTCAGAGGAGGAATCAAATGCTAATGTTTTATTTCTATAGGCTAAAGATATGAATATTAATTGAGATTATTGAAAAGAAATCATTTTCAAGTGTTATTAAGTTTCTAATATCAATTTTAAATATCCTCTTTATGGCTAGAAAAATTACAATGTGACATTTTATTGCTTTTTAAAAAAATCCTTTATATCTTATACAGTTTACTCAATCTCATAATAGTTTCTTAGCACTGTATATTTATTTACTGTTTCTCCTTTTGCATGTGATAATGAAATATGTAATTCTGCAAATTGATTAGTCTTTTGTGGGTTTTTTAAAATATTTTTTAGTTGCCAATGGATTTTTTACTTTATTTGTTTATTCATATGTGGTGCTGAGTATCTAACCCAGGGATTCACACATGCTAAGCAAACGCTCTACCACTGAGCCACAACCCCAGTCCCTAGCTTTTGTTTTTTGATGTATTCTTTCTCATTGTTTATTTCTAAATGTGAAATAGAATTTTACCTCTTTACAGATTATTTCAAAATTTATTTTACATTCTGTTACATTTAATCCTGCCCACTAACTGTTATGTTTGCTGTTTTTTAGGTCATTGCTCCTTATCAAACCTTATTGAACCCCCTGAGCAAATTGAATGTCCTGAATAATCTCCATTCCCATTTCATATTGGTGGATGATGGCACAGTTGGAAAGTATGGCGCAGAAGTCAGACTAAGAAGAGAACTTGAAAAAACTATTAATCAGCAAAGAATTCACGCTAGTAAGGGAATTCCCAAACTTTTATTATGGAAGTTATTTTGAGCTGTATTAAAAGCCAGTGATGTTCTAGAAAAGTTGAATGTCAAGTACCCTTTTCCTTATGTAGCAAGAAATCTATAAAACAACCCAAAATGGCGGATCTTAGACAATTTTAAGACCTAGAAGATCTCTCAGGCCAAATAGGGTACTCAGGCTTCAAGGCCAAAGACAAAAAGGCTCATTAGAAGCTTTGTAGCTATTGTTTGTCATTGCTGCCAAAGGAATTTACAAGTATTCTTAATGTCTTATATATCCAAGACTGAGCTTTGGAATTTAAGATTGAAAAGTAAATGGAATAAAGCCACTTTGTAATAAAGTAAGAATAAGCTTGTTTAAAGTTCATAAAATGAATAGATGTCACAACTAGAAGAAATTTTGTAGCCCTGGGACACCAAGGTGAACTCTGTGACAAAATGAAATAGAAATACACAATTACTGAACAGTGTATTAAGATTATGGTGGAGGCAGAACATTTACAAAAATTAGAAATGTTGTATAAGTCACAGTTACCAACACTGCATGTTGTAAAAACAAAAATTGGTCTTCACTAACTTTTTTCTTTTACTCTTATAGAAGTCTTAGAATTTTATCAGTCAGTGCCACTTAAATAATTATGACTTATTAATTTCTATATTAATGTATACTAAATTGTATATTAGATTTTCTAATTTTGTCTTTAGAACAGATTTTCAGTTGGTGCTAAAGTAATATATGTAGTACTTTATTTATGTGAGACTGATATTACATTGAGTAAAGTGAAGTCAATACAAGAAATTATGTCCTGACTTTTAACTTTGCATTAAAAAAAAAAAAAAGCTAAAAATTACAATTTTATTTAATTTTCTAATTAAACTTTTACTCTTTTAGGAATTGGCCAAGGTGTTCCTGTAGTGGCTCTGATATTTGAGGGTGGGCCAAATGTTATACTTACAGTTCTAGAATACCTTCAAGAAAGTCCCCCTGTTCCTGTGGTTGTATGTGAAGGAACAGGCAGAGCTGCAGATTTGCTAGCCTATATTCACAAACAAACAGAAGAAGGAGGGTAAGTGTATTTGTATAGCAAATTTTAATAACCTGATTGAAGAGTCTTATGGTCTTTAGAGTATTAGGTTACTTTTAATGGTTTATGAATATGAAAATCTTGAGTTCAACACAACATTTTGTTAAGGCTTGAGGAAATAGCCTACTCATACATTATTGGAATGAAGTAAAATATGGGTTTTTTGTATTAATAGAAGAAAGTTGTTGGCTATAGAAGCACACATCTTCTGATCCAATAGTTTATATCTGGGAATTGTTTCTACAGATGTTCAGCTGTTATAGGGTTATTTGTATGAGTAAGAGATTGGAATAAAGTAGAACATCCATCAGAAAAAGACTAGATAAGTAAATTGTGGCATATCTACAAAATGGGCAGTTTATCGCTGAATAAAAATGGTACCTTTTGCTAGATTTATGAATATTATCAAAATGTCTACCTAGAAAAAAGAAGATGTAGAGCAGTGTATAAATTGTGTCACTCTTTTTTAAAAAATATTTATTTTTTAGTTATAGGTGGATACAATATCTTTATTTTATTTTTATATGGTGCTGAGGATCGAACTTGGTGCCTCACATGTGGTAGGCGAGCGCTCCACCTTTGAGCCACAACCCCAGCCCAATTGTGCCACTCCTTATGTAGAGAAAGAGGTGCTAATTATTTGTATATATAAAAAGAGATCCTGGAAAGTTGTCCAAGCTAATCATAATCAATAGTAATAGTAAAGGGCTGAGATGGAATTGGGAAGATGAAAGATAGTGGGAAGGATGAAATATATTTGTAGCACAGTGGTAGAGCACTTGCTATGAGTTTTCATATTTTTATGTTTTCTCTATTTTTGGCCATATACATGTATTAACCTATTCATAAAAAGAAAAATGTAAATACATTCAAGATATCTTGGCAAAATTTTACTTTATACACCATAATATTTTTAAATTATCTTCACATATTATCTTATAAAATGTAAGTACTGATTGCAGCATATACTATATTTTAAAAATTATAAACTAGCCAGATGCAGTGATGCATGCCTATAATGTAAACAGCTTGGAAGGCTGATGTAGGAAGATCCCTAGTTCATAGCCAGCCTCAGCAATTTCTCAAGGCCTTAAGCAACTTAGACCATCTTAAATAAAATAGAATATTAAAAGGGCTGGGAATGTAGCTCAGTCATTAAGTTCCCCTGAGTTCAATCCCTGGGTACTTCCCACCCTGCCATACACACAGAAACACATACCACACACACACTAATTCAAAGAGAAAAATAACTCCATTTCTCTTTTTTTCCCTTAAGACTTATAGTGGATGTCTCATGAAGAGAAAATAATTCTGCCCAATGTCAGATATTTAATAGTAATAATCTCATAAATAATAGAATATGAAACTAGTGCATTAAGTTATATTTCCTCTTATACTAGAAGTCTTCCTGATGGAGCAGAGGTTGATATCATTTCAACCATCAAGAAAACATTTAACTTTGGCCAAAGTGAAGCAGTTCATTTATTTCAAACACTGATGGAGTGCATGAAGAAAAAAGAGCTTGTAAGTATATTTCAGCAGAGTAAGGCTTTTTGTTTCTTCCAAAGCACATTTAAATTAGTGAGATACTTTTGTTTCTAATTTGGATTTTAAATTTTTAAATCTTCTTTAACCAAGTAAAATGTCATTCATTTATTAGTCATTTCAGATTACATAGTGATAAAGAAGGACTGTAGTTTTTTATATGGCATTTAAACAGTATATTTCCATGTTTCTTTTAGAAAAAGTTTCTTAACTGGGTCTCAACAGATTATTTTCAGTGTGTGTGTGTGTGTGTGTGTGTATACATGTATATATAAATAACTAAATACTTCTTGATGGCTTTTCTAACAATAACTGAAAAAAAAATTTAAACAATTTTATTCTGAGGGAGTGCTTAAGAGTGTGGTATGTTAAATATCAGTGCTACTTAGTTTTAATCATGTTTAAGTTTTTAGAGATAAAAATTTTGAATAGTCTATAAATAGATAATAACCTTTGATTTGCTGTCTACTTCCATGGTAGGTTTTATACACTGAAATGAAGTCAGTTAAAAATTTGTATTTGGGTTAAAATAATCTTTTATTTTATGAAAAATATCTTTAGATAACATGGTGTTACATTTTAGGAAATATGTAGGCATTTTCAATAAAAGAATTAAGCTAAACAAATACTCATCATTTAAGAATTCATGTATTACTTGAATGGGTTTTTGCTCTGTATAACAAGTAGCAGGATTTATTCTTACAAGTAAACTGTAGACTCACTCTAAAGTTTCTTATTCTGATAACTGATATAAGATAGGTTTAAAAAAAACAGTGTGAAACCAAATATTTTCAATATATTCACTATTATTTTTGGTAAATAATAAATGATGTCTTAATTTTTTGGATTTTTTTTTTGAGGGTTGATTGATGTTTTTCTTGCCTCCTCCCCACAAATATCAACCTACCTACCTACCCCTCAACCCCCACCATAGTACACCTTAAAATTACTTTGTTTTATGATGTCTTAGATTTAAAAATATAAAGATGTAATATTATGAATTAATATTTAAATAGATCACTGTGTTCCACATTGGATCAGAGGAACATCAGGATATAGATGTAGCAATACTTACTGCACTACTAAAAGGTAAGATTTTAAAAATTTTATCTTTAATATCTTGAAAGTATAGCCTATTTATATAAGGTAGGATTTTTAAAATTTGGTTAAATACTTGGAAAGTAAATTTTTTAGAAATTTTTCTTTGTGAAACACACAATCTTGGTTTTTGTTGGCAGTAAGTTAGCTTTTGTTTTTATCTTGTAGAATTATTATTGTTTATAGCAAGGTGTATGCCTGCAGAATTTTAATTATCCCATTAAAATAAGTATTTAAAGGTGATAGTATTTAAAAAAATACCATAATTTATATCATCTTGGGATCAAAAAAATCATAAGTGACAGGAAATCTCGAAACCATGAAAGAAGAGTAATTGGAATGATAAAAAAACAAAATTCAGGTAAAAAGAGAGCCTCATCTGCATGTAGTATTTGCCATATACTTTCTGTGTGCTGACCACTGTTCTTCAGTGGTTTATATTGCTCATCTTGTTTTATCCATACAGTATCCCGAAAGGATACATTTCCTTTTATGTTTCTCATTTTATAAATGAGGAAAGTAAGGAGCAGAAATTTTAAAGTGGAGGAATCTCAAAGAGCTTTTCAAAATTGTTAAGAAAAAGATGAATACCTTATGGGAAAAATGAGTCAAAATTTATGTAAATGATACTGGAGAAAGAATTCAAATACTTGGAAGAAAGATGGTCAACATTATAGTATGAAAGTAAAAATAAATTTTAAATTCTTGTGCTTTTGGTGGATGATATAAGCTTTCTGAAAAATATTTGGGGAGGATATAAAAAAACCTTACAGTGTGTATGCTGTGTCCATCAATTTGGTTCCTAGAAAATCATCGTATGTAAGTAATTAAACATATACTAAAATATATTTGGTAAGATATCATACATAGTAAGGTACTCAAAACACAATACTGAACACTTTGCATAATATCCCATTTTCAGATAAACAGAAGTATATGACTGCACTTATATATTTACAGAAAAGGACATGAAAGGATATTTTTTCAGAATCTTAACTGCCAGTAGTGTCTCTGTAATAGATAGATCATCAACATTTTCTTCTTACTTTTCTGCGTTCTGAATTATTTACAATGAATGAGGCTGTGTAGTTTCTGTAGTTGGAAAATAAAAGCCTCCATACTGAGGTTATTCTTACCTCTCTGAGGCAGGTATTTCTGAGCAATGTCTGACACCAGATGTGTAAGTTAATTAAAGGGTGGTAGGGAGATTTCCTAAGTGTTAACATATTAATGGAGATAAACTCGCAAACTATTTTTTTTATTCAATTAGGTACTAATGCATCTGCATTTGACCAGCTTATCCTTACATTGGCATGGGATAGAGTTGACATTGCCAAAAATCATGTATTTGTTTATGGACAGCAGTGGCTGGTACGTAAATAATCTATATACACATATAATTAAACTCAGTACTACAGGTTTTCTGTATACATAAGTTCCACAACTAGGGATTCAACTAACCACAGATTGTGTACTATGTGGTTAGTCCGACAATGATGGCATCTATACTGAATACGTACACACTTTTTTTCCCTTGTCGTTATTTCCTAAACAGTATAGCATAACAATTATTTGCGTAATATTTACATTATTATATTAGGTATAAATAATTTAGAAATAATTTAAAGTATACAGGAGGATATGTGTATGTTATATGCAAATATTTACCATTTAATTTTACATAAATAATGTGAACATCCACGAATTTCAGCAGCCAAGGGGTCCTGGAATCAACCCTTCACAGACAATAAGGAACAACTATAATAACAAAGTATTTGATGAAACTATGACCTAACTTCACATTTTACTTTTTTGCCACAGGTGCAGAGTTCATTTAGCTAAACATTTCTACAATATCCAGATCTATTTAGGTTTTAAGTTATGTTGGCCTCTTGATAATCTTGCATTTTATAGGGTATGTTGGTATCTAAAAATTCTAGAATTGAAGAGCCTTGAAATTTTTACTCTATATACATAATATTTCATTGGATGTTTATATTTGTTCTTTCCACAGCCTCTCCATTCAACAAAATGGGAACAATAATTTTGCAGCTTCTGAGATGAGAAACTTTGGTGTCATCTTTTACTTTTCTCTTTTTCATATACTCCAGTCTAGTTCCATCTATAAATCTTTACACACATACACACACACATAACTCTTTCAAAATATCAATTTTTATCATCCTGATTGAATCTCTTATCATCCTTTTGTTATTTCAGTAGTATTCCTTTTGATTTTCCTGCTTTTATTCTTCCTGTCATTTTACAGACAGAAGATGGATCACATCCCATTTATTCAGAGCACAATCCAGAGCCTTTATGATGACCTATAAAACTTTGTATCATCTGTTCTGTTACTACCTCTCTTACATACTACCACTGTTCCTTTTGCTCTCTTTTATAGCTTTGTTGGCCTTCTTGGTATTGTTTTTGAACCCACTAAGCATATTCATATCTCTAGGCTTTTGTTCCTGTTCTTCTGTCTGGAACATTCTCCCCTAGATATGCACCTGGGTTTACTTCCTCATCTCTTTTTGGACTATAACCAGATGTCTCCAGTTAAACTTTCTCTGTCTACTCTGTTTTGGTAGTATTCCCTTATGTCAGCATTTCCTGTGTTCTTCCTTGCCTTTTTTTAAAACCCTCTAGCATTTATCACCATCTGAAAAAATAAACATATAAATTAGCTATCTATTTATTTATGATTTATCTTTTTATTCCTAGAAAGTAAATTTTACTAGGGCAAGTGTATCTTTCAGTTTTGTTTACTGCTATGTACACAACCTTGTAAAATAATGAGCACTTGACAAATTCTTAATACTTGTCTGAGTCCCTAGGAGGGGGATGAAATGTTCAACTGTATTATCAGCCTTCATAATAGAGAGGATAAGCCAGATCTCTTTCATCTATATAATAGAAACAGCAAATTGCAGAAAAGTATGCATCATATGATTGTAATTGTGGCAAGTTCTCTTTATGAATACACAAACATCTGTGCCTATCTACATGTACTGTCATGGTATCATTTCTATTTTTTGTTTTTGGTAGTACTGGGGATCAAACTCAAGGCTTCAAGCATATTTGACAAGTGCTTTACCACTGAGCTACAAGCTCAGCCCCTTAGAATTTTAGATCTATTAGTGGGATATGGCTGGAGAGATGAAGGCTAGCAGAAAATAAGTTTTTCCCCCTTGGAGGACTATAGAGAAAGAAATTGATGTTAATCTCTTGCAGTAAAACTCAAAAGTTGTAAACTAACTTTTTATTCTGATGAATAATTTCATTGGATTTTTTAGTCTCCTCACATTGTAAATGATTAGTCTTGCATATATATGTTCATATATAAATCCATATGTCTCATGGATTTGTCCTCCATAATGTTAGATTTATTTTATTTTGTCCTCCTTACTTAAAGAGTTTACATGTCAGTTGTTTTATTTTATTTTTTTAAATTATTTGGTATACATTGAGGAACTGCTGCTTACAAAGCAGATAGATTTTTTTTTAACTGCATCTTTTTTCCCCTCATGTGAAAATTTAGCCAAGCTCTTATGTTGTTCTAGGATAATAGTGATAAACTCAATTAGATAGAATGTTTCATTTTTTAAAACAATGTTTAAGGGTAAGGATGTAGCTTATGGGTAGAGTGCCTGCTTAGCATGTGTGGGGCCCTGGACTTAGTCCCTAATACTACCAAAAAGAATAAAAACAAGAATTTTATTAGGCCTCTTTTATTATACCAAAATGAAATTTCAGAAATAATAAATAAATTTTTTAATAACAAATATGATGCCCTGATTGTAACAAGTCAGAGAAAAGTGATCAGTACAGAAATATTCGAGAAAGGCAGCATTTTAAAGACATAAGTTAGATACTTGCACTTACTATAAAAGAATCAGTGTCAACGTTGTAATCATGCATATGAAATCATACAAGTATGTTATTACTTATGTATGTTATTATTATGTGATTTAAGTACCATTGGATAACAGAAAAATATCCCTTGTAAGTATAGGATAAGGAAAGAACAGAGAGAACCAAGTGGGCACTAGAGTAATTTTAAATGATAATGCTAGAAAGAGCAATAACAAATCAGAATAATTTATATGTGATAGAAAGAGGAAATAATGTTAAATAAAATAGGAATAAACACGCCATGGTAAATTATAGTCTAATATGTAGAGAAAATTGAAGTATTCTCATAATAAATTGGTCTTATTTTTAAGGATAATATAAAATATTTTCATGTTAGAATGGAGTGGTGAAAAAAATCACAGAAAACGTACCTT